GATAAAAAATAAATCAACCTATCAATCAATCAATCAATCAACCGATCAATCAATCAATCAATCAATCAACAAATCCCTATAACAATATGTATATAATGCCAGGGCAAATTATTTTAAAAATTGTTAAAGTTTCTTCTTCTTCCTCGTTCTCGATGACAGCAGCTAGACAGTCAGTCCGATGTCGCGCACAAACTGTGCAGTTCGCTTCAGGTCTGAGAGAATGACATGGTGGTTAAAGTGGAAGTAGCTTCAACAACAGCAACCTTTTTCTCTTTAACTATGTACAAAAAGCAGAAACATTTAGGTAAAAGTAAACTTTAACTCTCCATTCAGAACTTACTTAAACTATAGGGCAGTCAAAAATTCGTGGCGCAACTTATCTTCAAATATCTCTTCAATGGGTGAATCAATGTCATCCATACTTTGCACAGCAATTTGTATCAATTTGTCTTTACTCAATCATATTTTCCCACGACAATTGAGGTTAAGTTAAAAAGCTTTTCTTCATTAATTAATATTAAATACTCCAAAATCTCCTTCACCCGGAAAATGAAGTTGTCCACAGCACTTCCCACTTCTCACACACATTTTGCGTACGCATGACTTACGGCACAGCTCACCAAGGACACTTTTTAGTGGCAAAACTAGTTACAAGAAATTAATTTCATAGGGAACACTTTTTTGCCCTGAAAGTTCTCAAAACACGCGTTCAATAAAGATAATCTCGCAATTAGAAAGAAAAAAACCGGACGGGCTTGCTTTTAAAGCGGTATTGTCCCAGCTGTAAACCTTTTAAAATCACTAGAAACCAACTGGGATTTTTTAATTTGTATTTATAAAGGAATTTTCTTTTTAAAAAAAGAGGTAACTGGTGTTTACAAAAATATTGATCTCTTTAGACAAATTGATAAAAGTCACAGTACAAAAGCTGGAGAGTTAAAGTTCAATAGTTGAGGAGATATTTGACAATAAGTTGCGCCACGAATGTTTGACCTCACTAGTAAGCACCAAGGTCTCCATAGGGTCACCATGACGTCGTGCTCGAAGGATAGTGTTAATCTATTTTTAGAAAGAGGATTCAAAATTTAATTAACGAACATTTGAAGTTACACGTTTTGAGTTTCACAACATGCCAAGCTTTTAAAATGCAATTCTTTGAATAGCCTGATAACCACATCGAATAATATTGCGATTTTGATAGAGTAGCTAGAACATTTTGTTTCTGACTTCATGGAATTACTTGTAAATCAAAACGGCCAAAAATGTCAAATACTGCTTTGTAATTCCAAGATGGCCAGGTCTTGTCCCATGACAATAGTCAGATCGTGGCGTGCTTAGTAATTTTGTTCTACTGCATGAGGGTCTACTCATGAAGTGAACTGCTATTTCCGGGGTGCCTTGATAAGCTGAAAAAGCCGTTGTGCTGTTGAGGCCAGAGAGGTGATCAGAGTAAACCTCATACCCCATTTGGACTTCTCTGTTGACATCCAACCCTTGTCGCTCATGTGGCCTTATGCAGATCACTTCTGTAGGATTTCTTCTCAAACCTGGCCATGTACAAACTCAGTCGAACGGGTATCTCCCCAAGTTTGAGACTTCTTTTTGAAGATGGAAAAAGTTAATTTTCAGTAATACATATAATTTTTTATTTTTAAAAAATCACTGATGTAGCTTTTGAGGGTCAAATTGAACACCACTTTGTTTGTCCGCTGTGTCTTGCCTTTACAAGTGGCCGGTCCTTGTTCCTGGCTGAGGGATGACAGACGCTGGTGATGTCACAGACAATGCGAACGATGGTGGTTCAGAGAAGGAGCCATTTATACTGCGGGAAGATAATATGAAACAGTGACATTATTGGTGATGTGTTAGGTGGTGCTGTTGTTGTTGTTGTCGTTGTTGTTGCTGTTTTTGTTTCTGTTGTTGTTGTTGTTGCTGATTTTATGATTAATGGCGTTGTTATTGGTATTATATGTGTTGTTGTTGTTGTTGTGTGCGTGTGTGGGAGCCCATCCTTCCGGATTGTTTAGAGACCCAAAGAGTGTGCTCTTCGCCAGGACCACCGCCTCTCTTGGGTAGCGGGTGAGGCATTCCAACCTCCCTGAATCTTCCCCAAAGAGATACCACCGCAGGACCTCCGTGGCGGGATATCTCTGCTGCCAGTGCTCGAAATCTTGGGGCCCCTCGCTGCACAATGGACTTAATTTGAGCCTCTCGTTTTGAGGAAACTGCCCTGTATTATTTCCTTTGTCCGCGTGTGGGATATCGGAGGGTCTTTTGTGATCAGTTTTATCTGGGTGCATGCACTTTCAAATGCAATTTGGCGGCCTGGGCCCGGCAGCGCTGTTGCCAGTTTGGCATTACTGTCAGCGAAATCGTTGCTGGTGGTCTCGCAGTGACCAGGGATCCACTGAATCGTGGGTTGAGGTATTGCATTATTTATGTGTAGTCGCATTTGATCAAGGGATCGTGATGCTTCCACTAGTGCCATGCATAGCGATTGACTGTCAGTGAAGACAGCGACCGAGTTGGATGCATCTGACTATTTGTGGATCCAGTTAATGGCCATTTCCAAGGCTCTCCCCTCTTCCTCGAAAGAGCACGTGAATAGAGCGCCTTTCTCCCTCAGTGTGTCGACAACGGTCGGGTTGGACGGTCCTCCGTGGTGATCACGACCCCAGTGCTGCCATCTGTTGTTCCTGTACTAGCCGAGCCGTCAGTGTAGATGTTGTATTGTGCGCCAAGCTCTCGTGCCCGACAAAGAGCAGCGCTTTGAATCTTCCCACTGGAGTCACTCCTTCCGCTTATGCCGTACAGTTGGGGGAAAGTGATGTCGGGGTTGATTCCCCGTTCCCGCGGCCTTGTTTTGAAGTAAGTAATGGGCCTCCTCTCGCAGTTGAACAGATGGGGGTTCTTTTTACTGGCGTCTTGGGCCCCTTTTTTGGGAAATTTCTGCGTCCCTTTAGGCGTCTGAGCACTTGTTCCTTTGCCTCAATTCGTCGGGGGTGCTCGTTGTTCATTCGCAGGGACTTCTCTCTTGATCGGAGGCAGTTAGCATTGATGGTGGACTCAATGCTTGGAACACCCGTTTTCAGCTCGAAGCGCCTCGATCAGTGAGGACTGGGCTTGGGTGGTGATCAGTCGCAGATATCTGTTTTGAACCACCTCCAGATTATTTATCAGTTTTGCTCAGCCACAGTTGCCAGCTGGTGCCCGTAAAGTTGAGGACACTTTATATATGGGCGAGGTAGACCTTGCGTAGGGCGTCTTTCCTCCATCCCCATTTTGAGTGCGCTACAGCGCTGAGGATCCTCATCTTCTCTGTGGCTTTAGCTATTACTGTCTCAACCTGTTTGCTGAACGTGAGCATGTGGTCGAGTGTGACTCCCAGGAGTCTTGCGTAGGGCTCATACTTAATTGTCGAATTATTGATTGTGTTGTTGTTGTTGTTGTTGCTGTTGTTATTGCTATTTTTGTTGTGATAGCTGGCGCTGTTACTGATGCTGTTGTTTGAAAGTGTTGTTGTTGTTGTTGTTTTTATTGTTCCAGCTGCTACGAATGGTGGTGCTATAATATGCTGTTTGAAGGTGTTGGTGACGTGGAGTCGTCCTTATTAATTTGTTGCCGTCGTGAAAGCTTTATGTAAAAGTGTTACCGTTATTGTTGTCACGACAGTTGGTCTTTTGTGTTTGGTATTGGTTTTGCTGTTGTTCTCATTGCTGCTATAATGGTGGAAAATTCCATTGTGTGGCTCTAATTCGCAAACAATGAACCGAGCACCCTCTCACTGTTTTCATACCAATACACAAGTGCGCTTGTACACAAGTGCGAAAAAAAGTGCTCCGTGGAGAGGTCAGGCGTGTCTCAAACCAGCTCCTCATGGAGACAATTAGCAGGAAGACACTGAGGTGGACGCTGGAAAGGAGAGATGAGCAGCTATGGACATGTGCCGCCTCCTATGAATCTAGCTCTGGATCGAAGTAAATCCAAGTAACAAGTGCTACGCCTGTTTCATTATAGAGCGCATCATTTGACTCAATTTAAGCATTTATGCGCCCCTATCGACACAATTTAGATTATTTAGGATGTAGGCTTCGACCTACAAAATGAAACAGATACCCACAAAACATCAATCTGTCACTGGAAGCAAGAAAAAGAGTACTGAAAAGTTACATCCAGCCAATCCTATTGTACGGGTGCGAAGCACGGACAACCAATAGACGGCTGGAAAGAACAATTGTGGCGACAGAGTTGTGGTTCATAAGACGCATGCTGCGTATCCCATGGACAGCTAGAAAACATATGAAGAAGTCTTGGTTGAAGCAAATTGCAGACAAGAACTTATGACGAATATACGACAGCGACTGGCAAATTTCATTTGGGCACAGAATGCGGAAAGAAGAATGGAGGATATTGTAACAACAGGCAAATTTGATGGAAAGAGAGGCAGAAGCAGACAGAGGTAAAAGATACTGGACAAGATGACAACATGAATGGGAGCAGCAAGAACAACAGACACCATTGCTGCAACGCAAGACAGATGGAAGTGGAGGTCCATGATCGCCCACGCCAGTCGGCAAGGCACCGGATGATGATGATGAGGCTTCGACCTCACCTCTCTCCTTTTCTCTGTTTTACGTCTGAGAACTACATGCCAACCAAACAGCCACAATTTTCACCTATTATCCGATCTGTCCTATCTGTAGTTAGCCGCACACGACCAGTGTCTGAGTAGTTTCCAATTCTATCTCTATCTGACTTCCTCTCTGCTCCGGAGACGAGCGTGTTTGTGCAAGCTCTGACGAATTAAAATAAATCCGAACGGAATGTTGCTTGTGCATCAATTTATACCCTTAGAACGAAGAACAGTAATCCCTCTCCAACTCACCCCCCCTCTCTCTCTCTTACAAACACACACACACACACACACACACACACACACACACACACACACACACACAAACACACACACACACACACATACCTACACCCTGCGTACACACTCCTGAAAGCTATACATACATTCATATCATACTTACTAGCTTTTAGCACCAAGAGGAACGATGGTTTCAGCGTTGACCTGACTCTGCTTCTGTTGCCTCATTCTGTACTGTCTGACAAAGTAGACACCAATGGCAGTAGCCATCATGGCAACCACGGCCGCACACACTCCCCCGACAGTGCCGTAGTACTTGAAGCCAGAATCTTCTCCTGGGAAAACACACACCGTGAGCTCAGGGATATATCTTGTACACATTGAAACTTTCGACTTGGCGGAACTACAGGGTGACCAAAAAAAAGAAGCAAAAAACCCCCCACACAAACAATAAAAGAGACATAAAGTGGACTCTCTTCTCCACCCTCGAGGATCTTGACTTTGCCGACAACCTTGCACTACTCTCTCATACCAACCAGCACATGCAGGAAAACCAAACCGACTCCACAAATACGGACGCCAGATTGGGTTAAGAATAATCCAGAAGAAGACAGAGGTGATGACACTAAAGGTGGGCTCCCCAACGCTGATTAGGGTGAACAACACGGACCTGCCTATAACAAACACATTTACCTACCTAGGCAGCATAATCACAACTGACGGCGGCACAAAGGAAGACATCATGAATAGACTCGGGAAGGTAAGATCTATACACAGAAACATGATCAACATCTGGAAGTCAGGACAGTTTAGTATACAAACCAAGTTAAAGCTGTGTAACAGCTGTGTACTATCCAAACTCCTATATGGAGCTGAATGCTGGAGGATGACTGATCATGACCGTGCCAAGCTATCTTCCTTTCATACAACCAGCTTACGCCAAATACGCAGAATCTTCTGGCCCGACAAGATTTTCAACGCCGATCTATTACAAAAATGTAGGCAAGAGGACATGACCACCATAATAAAAAGGAGAAGATGGAGATGGATTGGACATGTTCTGAGAAGAGAACCAGACTCTATTGTGAAGACTGCACTCCACTGGACACCCGAAGGACGTCGCAAAAGGGGCAGACCCAAAGTGACCTGGAGACGCACAGTAGAGTCGGACATGAAGTCCTGGAATCATTCGAGGGTAACACTGACCAAGGTACCCCAAAACAGACAGAGCTGGAGATCCTTTGTTGCTGCCCTAAACGCCAGATGGCGTAATGGATAGTAAGTAAGTAAAAACCACCAACCAAAATTTGCAACTCCCGTTAAACTTTTACTAACTAAAAACAAAGCTGACTTATTTCACAAGGACTCACCACTTCGACTTCCTTTCCCTGATCGATCAACGGCTTGCAGACGGAGCCGAAAGCTTGCGCCGAGCCCATGGAGCGTCAGAATAACTCGGTCAGCGTCTATTGCAAATGTCTGGCCCTCAGAGTTGCTGCACAACTGGATGGCCATAGAATACATAGGTCTATTCTTAGCAGAAATCCTCTCTGGAAAGAAACATTATTAGACGGGATCTAAAGAAACGTTTGAGGATCTCAAAACCTAAGAATCCCATCTTTCCAGTAATTGGTACCTGGCGACTCAACAAGCAGAAATAATTTCAACACTGAAAACACTTTTAAAAAAAGAAGGAAAATTCACTTGTCCGTGAAAGAAGATACATTCCTATCTGCTATTCTGTGATGTCAAGGGACATGACTCTTATCTTTACTGTGGGGACAAGATAATTAGGGAAGTGGCACGCCCTTGGATGACGTCAAGAGTCCGGCGCCAAATAGAGAGACATCGTCTGAGAGACTCACTGAGGTATTCCATCGAACTCAGGACCATGACGAGGCAACACTTATCTTGGACGGGGGCCCCCTGACAGACCCGACTCATCGGACCGCCAGGTAACTTTACACAATTCTACAGTACATTTCCATTAATCTGTGTAAGAATTTCTCAAAAATATAACCTATTCACTCCAGTGAACCATTTAAAGAAACATGATTTTACATTAGAGCAAATAGCAAAATAATACTGTTGTGTTAACAAGGTCACTCTTTCTCTTCACAGAGAATTAGTCTTCTTTAATTAAAATGTACCCAAACATGACTTGTTGCAAAAGAGAAAGATATGTTCATTATTTTTTACTCACAACTGCATAGGATCAAATGAGTTGCAAAGAGGTGAGGCGGGGGGTGGAGGGTGGGGGCAGAAAGTAGTAAGTTGGTTGTTTTCACATTAGTTCACAGCACGGTATGGTTTGACTTTGTAAAGACGGAATGGATAAAGAAGTTAAAAATTCACGGTAAAAATCAGGAATTAAAACTATCTCACATTGTTGAAACCATTTTTTACATCTTTGAAAAAAGACCAGTGGTCTTTGTAAACAATTCTGTTAGGATCAACTATGGAGAACAAATTCTTTAAATTAGTGCATGTTAAGTATTTCCTTGGGACTGCCCTAAATCCAGACATTGTATTAGGATGTGCTCGATCATTAGGTCATTAAGCCGGCACTGCATTGGGCATAAACCTTTTTTAACCCCCCCCCCCCCCCCGCTGCAGGAGGTAGATGTGTGTCAGGGAGGTGTGCCCAACACGCAGTTTTGTTGAAATAACTTCATCTCTTCTGAGGAGGCCTGAAGGTTTACGCTGAGCCGGCCAACCCAAAACAGTATGTCTTTTGACAGGGTGGAAGAAGGAGCTCGTTAATTTGGAGGCATATGAAGTTATTGCTAGTATCTTAAAGCTTGTTCATTTGTGAAAAATATCCGTCTTTCTTGAATAGATAGAAAACGAGATATTTTTAACTGAAAGAGGTGGGTTTCGTCTGGTGTCAAAGGTGAATTTTTTTTTGTTGGTAAGTGTTTTACGGCGCTCGCAACTGCATGACGTCATATGAGCGCGCGGGACACTTTAAACATTTTCAATTGGTAGGAAATTTTGAATTTTGCCCGGATGACCGCCGAAGCCTACTCTTTTCGATTTTAGACCTCCAAGGGATCTTTAACGTGCGCAACTTGCACACGGGACCTCCGATATGTTTCACCCTTGTCCGAGAAGGCTAGATGTCGATCTTTCCTACCAGAAGATCAAGGGTGTGGCTGAAAAACAGCAGTGAGAAGGAGCCAAGAAGAAGCAGTTGAAAGGCTGCCAAAAAGAGCCAGGAGCCCAGAGGAGGGGGCAAAGAGGCGAGGCGGTGGGGGCAGAAAGTGGTAAGGTGAAATTAGCGAGAAAATAGTCGATAATGTTTAGTGACTTTCAAAGCTAGAGTGTACTTGGAAACTTGCAAATTTTCATTTTTGTGTGTCTTTAAGCAACATTTTTTCAGTAACATCCAATTTAATTTGAAGTGGACATTTTTGGTGTTGAAAAAAATTTGTTTTGATTTGAAATCTTAGATGTTCAAAAAACCCAAACAAAAAACAAACAAAAAAAAAACCAACCAAACAAACAAACAAACAAACTAAAACTCGATGGAAATTGCCCAGCGGGTGGAAAAATGTCGGATGGTTCTCGACAACAATAAGCGTGTTTCAGGATGGTACGTGGTGTGTGACAACAATAAGTGTGTTTCAGGATGGTGTGTGGTGTGTGACAACAATAAGTGTGTTTCAGGATGGTGCATGGTGCGTGACAACAATAAGTGTGTTTCAGGATGGTGCGTGGTGTGTGACAACAATAAGTGTGTTTCAGGATGGTGCGTGGTGTGTGACAACAATAAGTGTGTTTCAGGATGGTGTGTGACAACAATAAGTGTGTTTCAGGATGGTGTGTGACAAAATAAGTGTATTTCAGGATGGTGTGTGGTGTGTGACAACAATAAGTGTGTTTCAGGATGGTGCATGGTGCGTGACAACAATAAGTGTGTTTCAGGATGGTGCGTGGTGTGTGACAACAATAAGTGTGTTTCAGGATGGTGTGTGACAACAATAAGTGTGTTTCAGGATGGTGCGTGGTGTGTGACAACAATAAGTGTGTTTCAGGATGGTGCGTGGTGTGTGACAAC